AAAAAAAAAAAAAAAAAAGCCAGTTTTTTGTTTGTTTTGCTTCTTTGAGACAGGTCTCACTCTGCAATTCAAGCTGGCCTTGAACTCATTTTCAGCCCAGGCTGGCCACAAACACATGGTGCTCCTCCTACCTTAGCCTCCCAAGTGCTAAGATTACTGGTGTGAGCTACTGTGCCTGGCACTACCAGCACTTCCTTGAAAAAGTACTTCAAAATTGACAAGCTGGTTCTAAAATTTATATGAAAATTCAAAGTGTAGAAACACTGCAGAGAACCAGAGCTCATGGAGCACATTCTCCCCATGAGTGTCCAGTGTTCCGGTACCTTTTGTTTGTGCCTGTGTCTTTTTGAGACAAAGTTTCGCTATGCAGTTCTTGGCCCCTGTGCAAGGATGACAGGCACATTCGTGAAGCATTCCATATTAAAAAAAAAAAAAAAGAAATGACAAAATGATCTTGAAGAATAGCAGCAAAGTTAGATGATCTTCACTACTTGGGTTCAAGCTATATTAGTTAAGGCAATGTGTTGTTGGACAAAGTACAGACAAACAGCCGAACACACAGAATGGAGTCAGTCCCACTTTCAAAGATGCCTAGGCAACGCAGTGGGGACAGCAAAGCATTTTCAGAAATGATACCAGGCTGGATATGGTGACACACACCTGTACTCCCAGGAGCTGGAGGCCAAGGCAAGAGGGTTGCTGCAAACTTGAGGACAGCCTGGGCTACAAAGTGAGTTCAAGGACAGCCTGAACTGCATAGCGAAACCTTGTCTCAAAGACACACGCACAAACAAAAAGGTACCGGAACACTGGACACTCAGGGGAGAATGTGCTCCATGAGCTCTGGTTCTCCACACAGAGAAAATAATTCAAAAGGACTGCACAAAAAGTACAACTAGATTACCATGAAAAGTACAACTGGAAAGCTTCTAAAACTAGAGTAAGTCTATTGCCTTGAAAGAGGCAAAGAGAATACGAAAAGCTTTCACCCTAAAAAGAAAATATTCATCAAACATCTGCACACAGAAAGGTGCCATTAACAACACGCAAAGGCAAGCCACATGTGTGTCACGCAACATGCGTGTCTGACCCTGAGCCTGCACCCAAGTGTACACAGCGCTCTTGCATGTCAGAGCTTAAGTTTCTCTCATGGCAAAAGACTTGGACAGACACTTCACACAAAGATATACAAATAGTTCTTATAAGCACATGAGAAACTATCCAGTGTAATTAGTCACCGTGAAAACTACAACTGTACAAAATAAACTTCATGTCCACTGGAATGACCAAAATTAAAAGACTGGCAACAGTAACTGTTTTGAAGGACGTGGGACAACCAGACATTACATGTTCAAGATGCACAAGTAAAATTATGCAACCACTTTGAAAAATAGTTCTTCAGTTTCTTAAAAAGTGACACTTACAGTTCCTTTGTAGTCTAGTAATAGCACTTCTAGGTATAGACCCAAGAGCAGTTGTATGTTTTTACAAAAAAGCTTTACAATAATGTTTAGAGAAGCTTTATTTGCAAAAGCCAATAGATGGAAGCAACCAAAATCTCCAAAACCAGAAAAATGGTAAATTCCTTTCTACAAAGACATACTACTGAGCAGTAACAAAGAAAGAAATTACAGATATTTAAAAAAGTCGATAAACTTTATAGATGTTTGGTTGAGGGGAACAACTATACACAAAGAGTATAATAGTACAATCACACGTCTATGAAGTTGAAAGACTGGCAAAGCTAGGCTAGGGCAGCAGAAACTATCTGAGGGTGGTTTGGGGAATGCAGCCGACACAGAAAGGAGCCCAAGTGTCCTCGGGCTTGATTCCACAGGGATGCCCGTGCCAACCTGCTCAAACTCCACTCGGAAGTCCGCGCATCTTACTAAGTGTAAATTGTACCTTGTGAAGGGGAGCCCACGTACAGTCAGCACCATTGAGCAGGAAGGAGAAAGGAAGGGGTGTAGCAGATCCTATTGCCTTCCCTAAAAGCGATGCTGCTTCTCACCATACCGCTGAGCTCTCTGGACCCCACAGCATAGCAAGCTCAATTCTGCAATTTATTCTTGCAGTAGTAACAGTGCATACCAGAAACAGACTTTGGTGAAATTAGTGGCTTTTAGATTAGCTCGATGGGTACGGCTGGGCACATCGATGAAATATTCAGATTAGATAAAATATTGTAGAGTCAGTCTCCATGTCTCATGAAGAGTACAAGAATCCAGCAGTGCCCCAGCCTGTGCCCTGGGGGCTTCAGCAGACCCCAACTCAACAGTGCTGGCTGCTGATGCCAATCATAATGGGGGCAGAGTCCTGCCTCTGAGGCACCATCCCATCTATTGCCAGTCACCCCTTGGCGCACCAGAGCTCAGAGGCCTGGCAGTATGACTGTGTGGCCTGTTTGCTAATGCACCTCTGCATTGTAAGTGTCCGTTTGGTGACAGGTGTGTGACTTGCTTTCTTTACAAGCTGGTCTCAGACATAAGCCTTGGGGCCAGAGGAAGACACACTGACCATTACCAGCCTACCTTCCAGTCAGCACCACCCCCTTTGCTAAGGGCTGCCAGTGACCAGCCATGTGATTGGTTCAGTTTGCAACATTGCCTGCTCATATACAGCAGGGGTGAGAGGGACCTTCAGAGCTGGTGCCGGAAGAGCAGGGAATTGTAGGTGCTGTCGCATCCTGCTCATTACCAACACTGCGGTCACTCAGGGGTAGCAGAATGGTTGGTCTGTTTGTGTATATTCCAGGAAGAGGGGGAAGGAATCGATGCCCACCAACCCCAAAAGGTCCCCTCATCATGGGGCAGCTGGGGCCAGCCGGCATGGCATGCGCAGCCCTTCCTGTGGGGTTACCTCCTTCTCGCGCACAAAGCTCTCAAAGGTAGCACTGTAGGATTCACTCATTCTCCTCTTTTCTTCTTCTGACTCTAATTCAAACTGCCTTGTCATCTTGTATTCTGTGAGGTGAGAAAATAAGTGTATCTGTGTGTGAAAATGGGAAGCCTAAGTGGAGAGGAACCTAGTCATCCAAGGGAAAGGACACTCTCACCTGGGTCACCCCAGGTCCTGGCAGCCCGGAGGGGACAGTCACGCCAAGGAGCTCATCAGGTGGGCATGGCACTGTGCTCATGCCCCTCGCCCAGGGGACTTACTGCCGCCCTTCCCTTCACTCTGTGTAGCCTCTTTTGGACTGTTGCTTATTAATTCATCTATTCCCTCTCCTGAAGTAAAGACTATACTTCCTTGGACATTCTTTTTCCTAAAAGGATGTTCTCAGCTGCCCTGATTCTTCCAACACTGGTCCTGGGGTGGAGGCTGGCTAACCTCAGCAAGCCCAGCTGAGCAGACAGGAGGAGCGGCCGCTGGGATTCCTCCATGGCCGTGAGCAGAGCAGCGAGGGTCTGCCTCTCAACACCAGGGTCAATCCTGGCGTAGGCTTTGCCAACAGGAGGTACCGAGTGAGCACAGCTAGAAGTCAGGAGGGAAGCTGCAGCCCAGACACCAAGGCTGAGCAGCTGTGCCTTCCGCCCCTGGCCTGGACTCCTAGGGTTGAGTCCCTGGCAGAGCATGGACAGACTTTCCCCAGTGTCCCTGCTGTCAAATGAGCAGGGGCGTTAATCAACTGCACATAAGAGGGTTGAGGCCACATCACTGTGGAATGGGTTTGCAGGGCATGTGCCCACCTCAGCTGCTTACAGGCTTGTGCAGACCCTGGAAGCCCTCGCCCCTCCTCCACTCATGCTGTGGCTCAGTGAGGCTGGCCATGACTTGTGGGCCCTTTGGGTGATCCAAGCCCTGGATTATGCTGGGAAACAGTAAACTATGCATCAACATGGCTCCCTTTGGGGGGCGTAGGGGTGTGGAGGCTCCAAGTATAAACAGTGTGTGACCCCCAACACACACCAGTAAATATTCCAAATGCTAATTCAGTAACTCTTTCCAGCCCATGGCAGGCAAACTTAGAACCAGGAAGTTTTGAAAGGAACAGGCTTAGATCCCTTGCTGCTGCAGGCATCTGTGTTTCACAAAGACCCAGCCCACAGCTGGCACCCATTTGGGGTAACCCCAGGCATCTTTCATCCCAGCATGTGGAGCTCTACTCTGGTGACATTAAGGCTCTGGTCAAGGCCAGGCCTCTTCCCAATTGCCAGGAGCCCTTAGATACTCACTTTGCTGAAGCAGGATCTTCTCTCGCTCTATCTTTTCACCCTCCTCCCACTCTGCCTTCCGCTTGGACCACTTGTCTTCCATTTCATCGTGAACGGTGTCCTGCAGAGGGGCCATGAGGGAAAGGGTCCAGCATCAGGCCTGCTGAGGGCCCCTGGATGACTTCTGGGGAGAGACTCCTGCTGGGGCTGAGGGTCTGGCATTGCCCCACTGGAGCTGGGTTGCTTCATGCTGGAATTCTGTGTGCAGGACCCTCAGGGGTCCTCATCCACAGCAATGAGGAAAGGAGGAAAATGCTCAGAGTGCATTTGTTGTGGTTTGGGTTTTTGCAAGGGGAACAATACAATACAGAACACTTTTTATAATATCATTTTATAATCACCCAAAGAATTATATACATGAGTGCAAGAAGTCTGTCCACACACTAAAGACCAAAGAATCCAGCTGAGAGGCTGGGTCCTGATATTCTGCATGAGTCCAGCCGAAAACATGCTCATGCTTCTCACAAGTTCAGTTGGAGGCCTAGAGCCCAGGACAATGTCTCATGTGGGCCTGCTTCACGGATGTGCACTGGGCAGGCCCAAAGGCCAGTGGTGGGAGCTAGGAAGTCTATCCCAGTGGGATAAATGAGCTGTGCCAGCAGGCTGAGGGATCTGCCCTGGAGCCAGGAAGCAGTGCTCACGGTAAGAACCGGAGCTCCCTGGAAAAGTACCACAGCACTCTGGGGGACAGTGAGGTCTCAAGCTCCTCCAACAATGAGGACAGCCGAGCTCCCATCAGGAAAGCTAATGCGACAAGCTTCTTCACAAGGCTGAGCAGCACACCATCTTCCCCTCTGGAGCCAGGAAGCGATGCTCAAGATGAGGACCAGAGCTCCCCCAAAATGAACTGCAGCCATTCTGAGTGACAACACAAGAACAGCTAAGTTCCCCAGGAAGGCCAGCATGACGAGGCCGCCCAGCAGAATAGCCCAAGGGAGCCAGCGGCTGCCAACAGCTTCTCCAGGCCGCAACCCTAGCAGCCTCCCACCAGCCTCTCCAGCTCTGCCTCTCACGCTGCTGGCAACAGCCCTCAGGTGGGCCTTCCACACCAGCGCCACGCTAGTTCAGTTCAGCTGGAGGTCACAAGTTGACCAACAGTTAACAATCCACTATAGCATTGTCCACACTCAGACAACAATGAGATGCTTTTTATTTATTATGTTTTTTGCAGAACTGGGGATTGAACTCAGGCCCTTGCGCTTGCCAAGCAAGTGCTTAGTCTACTGAGCCATCTCCCCAGCTACACAGCAGGTTTTTTTTTTTTTTTTTTTTTTTTTGTGTCTCCAGCACTGGTCTGGGTTGCCTTGAGTATCTGGGAATCGAACCACCGCTCCCAGAGACTGACTGCTTCGTTTAAGCAGGCACTTAAACAACTGAGCTAATGGGTGAGCCCCCAATGAGATCCTTTATAATGGGCAGATTTTTTTTTTTCTCAACCCTCACTCCCTCCCCATCCTCCCTTTTTCTTCATACTTAGATTGAACCTTTCGCCTTTGCACTGAGATACATCCTCAGATCTTTATTTTTTAAAATTTGAGAGAGGTGGGCTGGGGAGAGAGTTTGGAGGCTTAAGCGCCTGCCTGGCAAGTGCAAGGACCTGGGTTTAATCCCTGGTACCACAAGCCATGACACCCTGGAACCCCAGGCATGGCCATGCCGGCCACCAAAACTGGGTGTGCCCACCGAAACTGGGTGTGCACTCCTGTAATCCCAGCACTGGGGAGGCTGAGTCCGAGCTGTGTCGCGAGACCCTGTACCAAATAAATAAACATTTAAAAAACTGTGAGAGAGGGGCTTATTCATTTCCCCAGGCTGAACTCAAACTTGCAGTCTTCCTGCCTCAGCCTCCCAGAGTGCTGGGGTTACAAGGGCGGGACTTCTTTTTGTGGTTCAGATTTAAGAACATGAAGCTAGTGCCATTCTCACTGATGGCTCAGACGTCCCAAACCTGAAGAGAGAAGTCCAGCTGGGTGCTGCAGAGCGGCCAGGCAGGCACCTGGGTAGTGGGGTTCCCAGAGCTCTTGGCCAGGAGCCCTGCGACTTGCCTGGCCTAGACCAGGCTCTTGGTTTTTGCTTTTGTTTTTGTTTGTCTTTTTGAAACAAGGTGTCACCATGCAGTTCAGGCTGTCCTTGAGCTCACTTTGTAGCCCACTCACAATGATCTTCCTGCCTCAGCCTCCTGAGCGCTGGGACTACAGATGTGTGCCACCACACCCAGCCATGGTGCTGTCTTGAGCAAGCCTTTCTGGTATCAGTACCAAACTGAATGTGCACATAGTGTAGAAGTTTCAGGCAAGCTGGTGTCTCGTGCTTGGTGGGGGGACCCTGGAGACAGGACTACAGGGTCACTGTGCTCATGGACACAGGACAGAGCTGGGGCTACTATTTTTTTTTTTTTTTTTGCTTTAAACATCTTTTATTTCCCCCTGAATCCAGTAAATTCTTTGGAAGTTAAATAGAGAATTGAGATGAAAATATTTTTGTATTTGTGTACTGTATATTTGCCCACTTATATTTTACTATGTGTATCTCACAATATTTCCAAAATAATATAGATTTTATAGGTATCAAACAAAATAATATTAAATCAGGACTGACTGGAACAAAGGTATAATTTTTACAGATACTGTTATACCTTAACATTATTTAGGTTTTTAATTTAGTTATCTAAATTATTTAACTTTAGTTTTTGTGGGGGGAGGTTGTAAGTTGTTTTGCAGTGCTGGGGATCAAAGCCAGGGCCTCACACATACTAGGCCTACTCTCACCCCTCAATGTTATTCTTCAACCTGAAGTTCTTACAGCTTTTCAAAGCTTCCTGATCCACATTTTCTCCCCAGGAAATACATACTTTAAGTGACGTTTTACTCACTTTATTTTTTTTCAAAGTTTTATTGATAAACAGCAATGAGACAGTTTCAAATCAAATCGGAAGTACAGTTTCAACAAATATTACACTGCATATATTCTTCTTAGTGGTTAATTGCTGTACAAGATGCGGACTTGTGATCCTATTTACAAACACCATTAGAACAAATCATTCTATTCATTAAGAGAATGCAACTATATATCTATCCCAACCACTTTGAATACACAGATACAAAATGGACATTCATAGGCATACCCCATTTTTTCTAAGTTCCGTTATTGAATATTATAGATGTGTAAACTCAGCAAAATATTCTAAAAGAGTCCAGTAGCCCATAATAGCATTGGGTCTTCTGTTTAACTGGCAATGTCAGAAATTATTGACCTGAGTCCCCCACAGCTCAACTTAACAGCATGGCTTTATTTCCTATATTTCGTCTTCATACTTTTCTACTGGATGGTTAAGACCAAGGTAAAGGAGGACCTATGCAACAAGAGTTGTAGCTTTTTGGTCTGAGAAGGTCAGTGAAATGCCCTCAGGATTTATCCTGAGATCCTGTACCTCAGATTGTAGAACCTTTGTCAGTGTCAGCCATGTGGATGAGTCATGGCCATTGCTTGGCCAATGTAGAGCTGGGGCTACTATTGATAGCTAAGTTATTGGGAAATACTGTGGGTGGTCAGACAAGTCTGGTCCCTCAGCACAAAAGACAGCTGTGGCTGGAGGTGCCTTTACCAGGGCCAGGCTTCAGGAGGACCGACTACGCCTACCCCACGGACCTCCCCTAGGAAAAACAGCAGGAGGCATCACCTTGGTGTGGAGGACCAAACTTCCTTAACCCCACCCTCTCCAGAAGGCCTCTTCTGTCCCGTGTGAGCTTGCTTCTCACTTTGATTCCCATTTAATCAATATTACCTAAGCAACTATTCTTGTTGTAATCTTACTGGCTGACCATAGTTTTGCCCTACCTCACACCCACCTTATGACTTCCCGTTGGATCAATGTTGCCTAAGCTACTATACTTGTGATCTTATTGATATAGTTCTGTCCCACCTTGAACCCCCCCTGTAGTGGATTTCTAACTGGTGGTCAACTTATTCCACCCTGCTGAATTAAACTAGCACAGTGCTGGGTGTAAGAGGTTCACCTGAGGGTTGTTTCCAGAGGCATAAAAGGCAGATCTGGAGAAGCTGCTGAAAAACTGTTATGGATGCTGTTTGGAGAAGCTACTGGAGGCTGCTAGTTCTCTTGGGCTGCTCTGCTGGAGGACCTTGTCGTGCTGGCTTTCCTGACGAACTCTGGAGAAGCCTGAGTCCTCATCCTGAGCATCGCTTCCTGGCTCCAGAGGGGAGGATGGTGCACTGCTCAGCCTCGTGGAGGAACTTGTCACACTGGCTTCCCTGATGGGAACCTGGCTCTTCTCATCTCTGGAGGGGCTCGGGATCTCACTGTTGCTGATCATGGCTGTGGTGCCTTTGAGGGAGCTCTGGTGCTTACCTTGAGTGTTGCTTCCTGGGTCCAGTTCAGATCCCTCAGCTTGCTGGAATAGATCCTTTATCCCACTGGCACAGACTTCCTAGCTCCCACCGCTGACCTGTGGGTCTGTCCAGCACAGATCCATGAAGCAGACCTGTGGGATACTTTGTTGTGAGCTCCAGCCCCCCTCAGTGGACTTGTTGGAGGCATTGTTATGAGCTCTAGGTTTTCAGCTGGACTCATGCAGGATGTCAGGATCCAGGCCCTTAGCTGGGGTCTTTCGTATTTAGTGTGTGGATAGATTTCCTGCACTTGTTGTATGTGATTCTTGGGTGATACTTTATAAAATACCATTATAAAGTGTGGCCTGTACTATATTGTTCCCCTTGCAAGAAACCCAAACCACAACACCACCTCACCTTATGGCTTTGCTCAGTAAAACACCCTTGAGAAGTGGTGTCAGCAGGGAATCCACTTTCTGGGCCTTCTTTTCTCTCCCTTAGACAGAAGCTTTTCTTCCGTTCAATAAACTCTTACTCTTAACCTCTGTTGTTCCTAGATTCCTTGATTTTCAAGAACATGAATTCAATGTGTCAGACATCCAGTAGGTTGGGAGTTTCTTTTCCCTGTATCATTTGGAAGTCTTCCACCAAGATAATTGGATAGAGATGAAAGTTTGGTTTTGTTTCATAGATTCTGGATTGTGAGTTGCTTGG